ATTTTAAGGAAGATCACGCATTTTGGGGGGTATTTAGTTCATTATTTATTTTTAGTTTATACATCTGATCTACCAGTAGTGTGAAAAGCCTACTTATAAACGAAAAACGACAAGTGTCATGTTAAAAGAAGGACTGGCAGTTGAATTTTCCAACATGTTTAAGTACTTTTTATTTAGTTTCAAGAGGCACGTGGAAGGGATTCGTAAGTTGGTTCCACCGGAGGCTGGGGTTGTAAATGTGTGCGAATAGGTCCTCCTATCAAAGATTCCGACAAAAGCTTATTTTTTGTTTATAAGTAGATTTTCGAGACTATTAGTTGATATGAGATGCATGGTGTAAAGTGATGAAGGACTGATAGTTCAATTTTCCTACAACAATATGAATAAGCCTTAGGTTTCTATTGAATTTACTCAAAATGGCTTCCTAAAGGGTATTCTCATTCAGGATGGGGAGGCCCAGGCGATGTCGAAACTGCAGTTCACTTCAGCCTGGATGAAAATACCTTTTGGGGAAGCAAATCTTTGTGAAATTCGATGGAAGTATAAGGCCTAGTCATAGCTTTGTGAAAAGAGCTTAGCCCGGTTTCACCAGAAATGGGGACTGCGTCAATTTTAACGTAGAATTATGGTGAAATTGTTGCAAAACAACCGCAATCAGCCGCCATCTTTCGGTGAGATCGACCAAAAAATTTCTTCATCATGCACTATCATACGAAATGGAGGCTTCCACAGCAAATTTACCTGAGGAAATTCATCGAAACCCAATTTATCTTTGTATGTATCAGTCCTTAAATCACCTGAAACGATGTCATGTGACTGACTTCTTATCCCCTTATTAAATTCCTCATCAATCATATGTGAAAATGACACTACAAATCTTGGAATTACTTCTCTAATATACAATACTTTGGTGCTTCTTGAGATTGACTGGTGGCCGCCGAGTTTCAGCCGGCAAAAAAAGCATCTTTGAAATGAAAGGTTTCCAAAAAATACGTGGATACCCCCTCATTCCAGGTTTGGTACCGTCTCAAATAATTTAAGACATCTTGCAAACTGAACAGTTAACGGATTGGAACGATGCCGGGCACCTACAAACCCCATTTTAGACCCCTTGAAACTCGATGTCTCAAGTTGATTTCTTCGGAAGATGTCCCGCTTCGTTCGGCCATCGAGCTACGCGAATAGACCACTTACCAAACTGGGTGGGTGTACAGTTGTCAAGCGGCCTAGATGGGATTAGGACGCAAAATACATGTAATAGAATGATCTGGGCCCAAAACTGGGGCCAGACAATAAATTACATGCTAGCTCATAGATGGAAAGACCTTTGATTCGGTCTCAGCCGGATTGACCTGGTTTTCGTAACTTTCTCGAAGCCATAGTAACCATGCAGTCAAGCCAAAACTCCATCCTGACCTTGTTTGTAGGTGGAACGAACAAGATGAGGTAGCCTTTAGTGTGATCATAGTCTACTTTCAATGTGTAAAAGTGATTTTGCTTCGTTTCCGCAATCTGATTATGCTGCAGGAGAGATTCGGAAAAATGTGCTCCCCCATACCGCGTCCTCTGCCAGAGGGTCCAGAACCAGTTTCAGCATTGAACCGTCGAAGAGGTGCAGTCCCGGACCACGAGGCCGGTGAAACAACAGGGAAATTAACAATTTAATTGTACGATATTGTAAAGAGTTTTGGACACGTTAGTGGACCACTTGGTACAGGGTACCTTTCTCTTAAAACCATTACAAAATTTCCACGACGTCAAACCAATTAAAAACCAGCCTTTCTGTAGGTGAACGACACAAGTAAGGCCTCGTGACCGTGAATTGGAGAGATGAAAAAGCATTTTTGGCTGGTACCATTCTCAAGCTTGGCTAGACGATATGAATTTTCGACAAATAGACAAAGTTAAAGCTTCCATTTAAGATCCTGTAAAACTAGTGTACATGGCTTCTGACCAATCTGGTCTCGAAGAGCGACTGACCTACTATCCTGACTGTGATCCCCAGAATCCCTTTGGCCGGCTATGAATAAAGTTGATTCGGTACAAAGCATGTGCCTCTCGTAGATGGGACTGGGTTTACGCTTCGCTCGGTGACCTTTCGGGTACCGGTACATGTGCAGATAGACGGCGCTCCGATTCCATTGCCAAGAACGTGGTCAGATTCTACACTTTGTTAGGCTTGGCAGTCTCTCATCTGCGCCTCGACGGAGGCAAAAAAATCTTTCGTTCGTCAGTGTCTTGCAGATCACAGTCGGCCTCTAAAGCCCTGGTTCGCCAGCCACGACCCAGCACATAAACACACCTTCTTGGCACTGCCAGTGGACATCCTCCCCGTTGCCGATTGGATCTGCCTGTCAACGACCAGTTTAGAGGTGGGCAAACGCTAATTTAACCTTTTCTGCAACGGTTTTTAAGCGACTTTCACATTCAACACAGGCGACGTTTTGCCATAAGAGCATCATCAACAAGGCCGTTAATGAAATATCTTTTCAAGAATGGACTTCACTTTCGGGTTCATCCAGTCTCGTTCACGCATCAAGCAGATCTTTGATGTGCATTGCCTCTAACCGAATGTCAAAAATCAAAATCCCGTCATGGTTTGGTCGGTCCTGAATAATTAGAACCTTTTGAGGGACCGTTGTAAAGGCAAATTGGATGGTAAATTCCGTTCTCCTGATATTGGCTGGCTCTAAAAGCCCACATGAGGTTTTCCTACTTTGGTATCGCTTTCCATATGGAATTTTC